ATTGGGTCGGTAGATCGCGAGTTATTGGCATTTTCTCCTTTATAACTATATGATTTTTACATATTGCCAGAAACTTTTGGCATTCCAACATTATATGAAAGTAATAGTAAATTTCCGCCAATTTTTACTATGAAATTTGTACCCTTCAACTGCGATCTACCACTTAAACTTTTTAGAAAACTTAAAATATCAAGTTTTTCATTCTTTGAACTTTAAAAAAAAAGATTTTTCGGCAACCAACTATTCAAAATTGGTGAAAATTTTTTTATTTTGATTCTGTAGGTTCATAGAAATAGAATTAAAAATTTTTAATAGTGGATTATCAAGAAATATTCATTTAAATTTAAAAGAAAATTTAATTGAATTTATATAGTTAGTTGTGAGAAATATTCATTAAAGATTAAAAAAAATTTGGCCGCAGCATTTCTTTTATTGATGCCTAAACTTTGAACGAGGATTATTCAGCACTTACCCGGTCAAATTCGACCAAAATTTTTTATAAAGAAATGCTGCGGTCAAATTTTTTTAAGTTTAAATGAATATTTCTTAACAATCCACTAATTAAATTCGATCAAAAATTTTCATTTTGTCTCTATAAACCTATAGAATCAAAATAAAAAGATTTTATCAAATTTGAATAGTTGGTTGTCAAAAAATACTCGATTTTCTTTTTTTCAACCTATTTTAGGTTTTTTTAAAAAGTTTAATGATGATTTCTCGATAACTATTAAACCAAATTCAATGACCTTTTTTTTATTTTCATTCTATAAGACTATAGAATTAAAATAAAAAAAATTTACCAAATTTGATCAAGTAGTTATTGAGAAATCATTTTCAAATTTATTATTAAGATATACACGTGATACGTAAAAAAACTTGTTTACCCCTAAAAATGTAAATAATTCGTCTTTGCTTAGCGTTAGCCTTTTCTTTCTTATTAATTGCATCATCTTTCTTCATCATATTAAGTCCTTTTGGATGTTAACTTATTATCTTTACAACAAAAAATATATCGTTCAAAAAATGCCAACCGATTTGGAAAATTTCCCTAAAAGAACCCAAGAAATTATTCACGAGTGGGCTAACGTTGTACAAACTAAACATGCTACTACTGAGGATAAAGAAGATAAACTTTATATGGGAGATCCTTTATTGATTATCGAACGGGATGAAAACGGACTTCAGCAGAGAGGAATTCAGAAGACCGTTATAATTAATGGTATGTCTAAAAACAAATTGTACCATTTTGTTTTATATTTTAATTCTCAATGAGATTTCTAATTTTTTTTCTGGACAGCGATTCTTGGTGTCCAAGGTTGCCAACCATTTCCCCAAAACGCTCAACCCCATCAAATTTTATTTTTTATATTGTTGACACTCATGATATTCAAGCACAGCAGATAGTTCAGAATATTGCCGATACATTACAAAGAACATACGCGCAGAGAGGAATTCCTACATTAGGACGAGTGTATGTGGTGGTTGCTGAAAGAAGAAATACCTTGAGAATTACTGAAAATGAGTAATGTATTTGGTCTTTGATGTTTAAAAATTGTAAATAATATATACATGACATCAACAATTCGAAGTATGTACCGTAAATCGCCGGATACAAGACCCGGGTCTCTTACATTCCACCAATTTTAAATCCTATAATAGACCCGGGTCTAGTATGCAGCCGAGAGTTCATGACACTAAGAGGAAAACTTTGAAGAGTATGCATGTTTTGCATTTATAATAGACAATCCAGATATTTGAAAAAACCCATGTTTGATTAATATAGATCTCATTATACGCATCCGGGTATACTACGTGGTGGGTCTACTATCATGGGGGATCTTGTATCCGGCGATTTACGGTAATTAAATTCGATATATCGTCAACATATGCTAATAAATACAATAATTTGAAATCATTTCACTGTTATTTATATTCTCTTCTATAAATTAAAAAAAATGATTTCGTAATAACAGAAATTTGAATACCTATAGTACGTAGAATCAGATAAATTAATCTTGGACATATCAAGAACAATAGGGGTGCAATTTTAAAAGGAAATATTTGTAAAAGTGGTTACGTGCAAATAGATATAAAATAAACGGTACTCGCATAACATCCAAAGTCCATGTCTTAGACTTTATTCCTAATCTGGAAAATAAACCTTATGTAAATCACATAAACGGGTTGTTAATTTAGAATGGGCAACTCCTAAAGAGAATGCAGAACGTAAAGTATTTCCGAATCGTAGTCATGGTAACTCTAGCCGTATTTAGGGATGAAAACGGGTTAACCAGTTTTTTTAAATGTTTTAAACCATTTTAAAAAACTTTTTAAAACATTGGCGATGAGACTAAAATTTAAAATTTAGGACTAAAATGTCGATTCACCAAGTTTCATCACGAACCTAGCATAACCACCACGATCAGTAACGCACCTAGTATAGCCACCAAAATCAGGCACGTAATCGCTTTTTAAATTTCAATCTGAGCACAAGAATAATCGAATTATGAGAATTTTAAAGAAATGATTAAAGTTTTTTTTACTTGTTTATTATTATTTATTCGTTTATATTATCAGAATTTAAGTATTTACTTAATTATCACTACGATTCGAATATTTAAAATACATTTATACCCAAATTCAATTTTTTTTAAATACACGTATAAGCTTTAAATTTGATATTAACGCTACCAATAAAGGGTGTTTTTATTACGTCCACTCCAAGTTTTTGGAAGCTTCTTTGCTCGTTCGAAATCTTTAATGTCATCTACCATTT